CAAACCGCCCCAGTGCACACTGGAGGTCCTGGTTTGATGGAACCAACAGGACAACGTTGTCTGCAAAAAGCAGAGACGAGATCCTGTGGTCCCCAAACCAGACTCCCTTCGGCCCCTGGCTGCACCTAGAAATTCTGTTCATAAAAATAATGAACAGAACCGGTGACAAAGGGCAGCCCTGCCGAAGTCCAACATGCACTGGAACACAATGCAGTGTTCCTCCAACCTGCCACATTTAAAGGCAGGGTGAAATACGGGATTCAGAAAAGGAGGTGAGACAATAATACCATGGGCTCCATTGTCCTGGGTGAGAAAACTTGTGTCTAAATTCTAGGCACAAGGCACATATGGGCAGTGTTTTGCAGTTTTTGTGACCCCAGGTGTAGCAGCCAGGTGTTACTGGGTGCATTGTGGAATACATTATTAGAGGGAGGAACACATCATGACCAGCTGGAGTCACAGCTGGGTTTAGTTTGGCCAAATTAAACCAGTTCCTCTCAACCCCTTCATAAAGCAAGGTGGAAACCTGGCTGACTGATTTCACTGATGTCATGACATGGAAATTTTCTCCCTGTATCTTTTTCTCCTGCCAGTTACTGTATGTACTCCTTTTCTAACTTGTGAAGACAAGGATATTTATTGTAGTTACTGCACAGTAGTCTGAATATTGCTGACCAGCTTTTGTACATAAAAGAAAGAAAGTCTCTGGACCTGTAACCAGCAACAATTATATACTCACAGCTGCATCCAGTCTGAAAAAAATGCACAGGGGTCTAGGGGTTATTTGCATGTAACTTTAAAAACTATGAAATGTTTATAAACTAACAAAATATTGTAATCACTGCTTTTATGGTGAAACTGATTAGGTCTGCCAGAGCTCACAGCCACTGGATGCATAATGCACTTTATCTCCACTTACAACTGCTTTTGTCGGCATCAACTTGTCATAAAATGCAAAAACAGACATTGTTAGTATTATGGGGATATACAAAGGTTTGTCTTTGTGAAACATTAGCATTTGAAGAAATTGTAACTTAACCGTGACACCAGTGCAGCGTGAGGTCTGACTGGTTTTATTTAGTGTTAATTAACATAATTGATCAGGACATCTGCAAGGTCTTTGTTACTGCCGCTCATCTCTGGCTGCATCCTGTAAAGACAGATGTTTAAATGAAATGGGAAAACAAACCACACGCACATACGGTATGTCATAGTCACCAACCTGAAAAGGCTTTTCTGGTAAATCACTATGTTATGAAACCCTTCTAATGAAGCTTGTCCATCCGAGTGTATTTGGACCTGTTCTTCTCCTTGTTCTGGCGCACCTAGCAGCAATTTGCTCATTACTGCTAACTGGTGGTACCCAATTCAACTGGTTCAGTGATACCAAGAATCCATTAAAGGCATTTTTTTATGATGTCAGTGATTAGTCCAAGTTCTTGCTACTTTAATAACAAAATATCGATTCTAAAAAAAAAAAAAAAATTTGTCATGCAACCCCTACAGAACGCATAATGTGTGTACCATGTTGTCTTGTTTTGTATTCAAGAGGCGTGCAATGCGTACCGAACAGATGTCAACTTTATTTCTTACTCCCCGAATCATATGTACAGCGTATCCACCATTTCTACATCTCACTCCCCGCTCTCCACACTACCTGTCGTAAATCACTGTCGTAACCCTCAGTGTTTACGTGAACATTACATCCCCTTTCTTTTGAAATAAAAACCAATCAAGAACATATGCATTTGGAGCATCATATAAACATTATATATGTAACCTCTAACGTATAAACTTGATATGGCACTTTGGAATGAAACTGGTAACATAACAGTGCATAACACAATATTTCCTCAGGTCTTCCATACCAGCATATACAGTATTTTCTCTTAGGGGCAGCGATCCACCTACACCCCAGACGACATACAAATTATAAATCAAGAATTGTTCTAGGTCGTACTGCTCGACCTGATCTGGTATGATATGATGTGGGCTGCGTCATCCTGCCTGCTGTAGGTTGTGTTACCAGGTACTTGGAGTGTGGTGAAACCACAGTTGTTGGTGTCTTCATCCTTACTGTTCACAGGCTCATCTGTGGTGATTTCCTCAGTCTCCACTTTCGTGCTGAGGAGGTGTCTGCGGTTTCTTTGATACACCTGACCATCCGAAATGCGCACATGGTAGGAACGTGGTGTGGGGGCTGGGTGAAGAAGACAGTGGGCAAGCTGAGCGTTCATAATACCTTTTCTGATGTTGTTGCCGCTGGATCCTTTTGGAACGTGTCACGGTGCGGCTGACAGTTTCAGGTAGGAGCTGTTGGTTGGTGCTCGGCAATATGGATCTGAGTCTATGATTCATGAGAAGCTGAGCAGGTGATTTGAAATTGTCCACA